ARAAATGGAGTCCAACCAGCAAGTGAACCACTCAACCAACTATTAGATCGAGTCTAACTAGCCAAACCAACCATAGTTATTWGTCCATCCATCAAGCCTGTTAGTTCTTAAGGACTAGGGGTGTAAACGAGCTACTCGAGCTCATTTATCTCCAGCTCGAGCTTAATAATTATCGAGCTCGAGTTGATCTCGAACACAAAATAAAACTYACTTAACTTAACTAGTCAAGCTCTATAACACCAATGTTCGACTCGACTTGTTCGAGAGCTCGATTAAACTTTATGAGTCGAGTTGAACCGAGCTGAGCCATTCGAGCATAAACCTTTTCGAGCCAAACATATTTACATGTTTGCAAATTATATAATCAAAATATAAATCATCGAGCTTGAGTGAATAAATAAGTTAATCGATCTCGAATTTGAGCTCATAAACGAGCATCGAGCTCAAACATTGAAAAAATATTCGAGTTTTAAGGAGCTACTCGAGCTCATATGAAGATAGGCTACCCATTTCGTGATTGATGCTAAATCAGAAGCAAAGTGAAAAGAATGTCATGTGGTTAAACATAGAAGACTCAACTCAAACATCATTCTTGTATAAATTTCTTCTTCATCTAGGCATCCATGGATGCTTCTTGTGATTTCAATTAGATGTTAATGGACAAGAAACCTTCTTCATTCATTAGGTTTTAACAAATGTAAGATTTATATGAAAAAATGTAATCATATGATTAAACAATTTTGGAGCAAACCTGATTAGACGAGCGGAGACATGGCGGCGACGGAGTGGTGCGGCGGCGACAGGGGCGTCGACGGGGGTGGTGCGGCGGCGGCGAGGGTGGTGCACCGGCGATGGGGAAGAGGGAGACGATGGTGTGTGGGCATTAAGCGGCGAGAGGGATACGGGAAGGAGACGGGAGGGAACAGTGGTGACGAGAGGAAGAAGATGAGGGAATATGGGTAGTCATATTTTTTAGGGTTTTTTTAGTTTTTTTTTTTTTTTAAATCTAAGGTTTACCTTCTATTCAGGTTACAAGTTACATTTTTAAACAATGAGGATCTATTTAACATGTTTTAAAAAGTCTAAGGAGTTATTTAATAGATTCTAAAATGTCTAAGAATTTATTTGTTTCAAAAAATTGTCCAAAAACTTAATTGTTTCAAACAATAAAGTCCATTGAGTTTTTTTGAGCTTTTCTCTTATATAAAATAGTTATTTTAGTGATTTTCCCATGAATATATGATGGATTGGATGGAGTGATTTCTACAAGTTAATTAGTTGATCCTTAATTAATAAGCAATACTTATGATGTGAACACATTTATAGATATATTATAATAAAAAGGCTATATACATAGCGTCTAGATTTAGAAGCCCAATTTAAATAAAGTATTTTAGTAAAGGAAAAATTGCATTAAAATGTAATCAATTTTTACCTGATTTCTATTTTGAGAAACCAACTTTCAAAATCATCATTTTAGGGAACCAACTTGCACCTGATTCTTATTTTGGGGAACCAACTTTTAAAATCGTCATTTTGGGGAACCAACTTGCATCTGATTCCTATTTTAGGGAACCAATTTGCAAAATAATTATAGAAAAATAACTAAAATTCGTTTTTTTTTCAAAAATTAATGCAACAAAATCTGTTTTTTATTTCAAATCTCGTTTTTTTAAAATTCAGATATCAAATTGAAGATTTTTTTTAAAATAAAATCCAAATTACCATAATAAAAATTATTTTTTACTAATGCAAAAAAGTCAATTTAGTAGAAAAAATTTAATTGCTACAATAAAAAAATAAATATTAAATATCACATTCAAGATTTTTATATCTAACCAATAAGTTGGATATCAGGTGCAAGTTGGTTCCCCAAAATGATGATTTTGAAAATTGGTTCCCCAAAATAGAAATCAGGTAAAAGTTGGTTCCATTTTGGTGCAATTTTCTTTTTAGTAACTATTAAAAGCCAATAAATAATGGCTACATTTGAAACTCATAAATTAATATTTACGATTTTCTTTTTTATTTTCTCTATATATAAATATATGAGGAAAGATAAATAAAAATCATAAATATTATATCGAATAAAGTCTACGCTTTTAACTGACGGGGCCAAAAAACAAAATGAGATCTCATTTCTATTCAACCCGATGTTAAGTTATTTACATCATTTCCTATAACTTTTTTAGATAATTTCCTCTTAAATTAGGAAAAAGAATATATTAAGATTTTCAAAATATCAATACTAAATTTCAAATCAAAAAACTTTTGTTTTATTTATCGTATATGAATATTAAATACTTAAAAAAAAAAAACTCAATCTATATAAATAACAATATATTAGATCTTATTGAGGAAAACTATCTTCTTTTAAGCCTATAATTGGAGGGAGACTTGAGTCCTAAGATTTTCAATTCTTTTTTCATTTTAATATGTTTTTTTTTTAAATCAATTAAAAAAAACCCTTAAAACCATATTTAGGCACATGTTATTATCATAAATAACCATATAAACTTAAAATTTTTAGCCATTTCTAAATCATTTTCACAATGCATTCAACAAACTACAATAAGTCAAAAAACGTGTGAATGTTAAATGTTGATTTGTGATTTTTTAGCTATTTTGTAAATATATTTTTTGGAGGTGACACTTATTTTAGTTTATAAGTGTAGCAACTCGTCAGTTGCTTTGGGGTGTTATAAAAAAGCGTCTTAAAAAACTTTTTAAAACATCCTCTATATAAATTAACTTTTTATAACGTACACTTTAGATAGTATAGTAGTGTTAATTATAAAATAAGTTATTAGACATTTTAAACAAGCCGTTGACCAGGAATCTTTGTCTCCTCCAAACTACAATAAACTCATTAGTCTATCATCACTTCTCCCCATGCATCTCTATAAATATAATTCTTCAATTAGAGAAAAATTCATTACAATTATTTAACCTTAATGATCTTTAAAATGAAGAAGAATGGTTGTAGAGTTTTGAATATTGTTTGCATGTTCATGATGATGATGATGTTGTTGGGCATGGCTAATGCTAGTGCAACTTCACCTACGGCTTTCGAATGCAAAATAGAGAGAAGGCTTGCAGTGAATGCATGCAAAAGTGTGTTGTATCGTAGGTACCCCTCGTCGCTTTGTTGCCAACGAGTTCGGGTTAGCCATGTTGAGTGTATATGCCCTGCGATCACGCCCAGAATGGCAGCCATTGTTGACGTCAATCGTTTCGTTAGACTTATCCAAGGATGTGGTCGAAGAGTTCCTCGCCACTTCAAGTGTGGAAGTAAGTATTTGTGTTTTAATTAATTGATCATGAAATGTACCTGTGTTTATATATATATATATATATATATATATATATATATGTAATTACGATTAATTTATGAATGTAGGTGTTACCTCACCATGAAGAAGAAGAAGAAGAAGAAGAAGAAGGGAGTGTGTGATTTCAATCGAGTTGAAGCAGGTTGTGATTGGGGGAATATTCATAAATAAATCTAATTAAGCTTGAGTTTGTTTTATGTTGTTGTAATAAAAGGTAAAGATTCTAATCATTTTACATTCTTGTTGTAATATGGAATCTTAGTTATTATTGTGTTTCAAAATTGTCTAATCTTATTCTTAATTATTTTACATAAAATAAATCACTGAGTCTATTAATTATTACAGGATTTTAATTTTGGGAAATCGAAATAGGCACAAATGACACCATATTTTCAAACCCTTTTCGATTAAAAAATATTTTGCCATTCCCATAATTAAAAGTTGATTATCAACAACTCCAATTCAACCAATTCCATACAGAACCGTCTCCGAGGATACCAATATGAGAAGACATTTTCTAATTCAGCCAACAATTGATCACAGGGGTTGGGATCGAACCTAGAACATGTCTAGTATTTAGGCAAAATCGTCCTACCCCTTTGTCAATTGAGTTGCTCAAGATATTCTCTAAACCTTTTCACTTTTCACTAGTCGGGGTTTTCACTGTAAACTGTTGCCCCGTCCCCGTATATTTATGAAGAATTAGATTTAAAAATAGTTGTTGATTTTTCTTCTTATATACATTTTTTCTAACTTGTTTTACATTCTTACATAAAAAAATATGGAGAATTGAAAGTATCAAAGAATTGCATGCGTATGATGTTGTTGACATATGAAAATTTGATACTCGATTAAAGCAAAATTGTGAAATTATGTGAGATTTAAACATGAACCATTTTGGATCAAGTGTGTTGTTTAACACGTTTAATTTAAAATATCTCACATAAAACAACGAAAAAATCTCAAAATTCCCCATTGGAGACGGAGATGAAGATGTAATCATATTCCCATACCTAGGTAAGGTATAGATCGTAGCCTTGAAGATTCTACTTCGTATATAATCTAATTGATTCATCTGATTTGGTAGAATAAAAATATTTATTAATTACACCCTTATATATTATCATGCATGTCTAATATATATATATATATATATATATATATATAGAGGACGTTTCAAACATTTCAAATGTAATCTATTACATTTGTATAACGAATGTAACTCAATCAATTTAGATATTTATGGAAATAATGATAGTTCATTTATTATTATATAAATATTTATGAAGGATGATCAAAGTTCATTAATTAATTATGATCAATAAAACAATCTAAACTTTAATGAAATCGCATATTCAGAAAATTAAATGGACGGTTGAGATTGAGTTGTATAAATTAAATGGTTGTATAATAACTCACCCCCACTCTCTCTCTCTCTCTCTCTCTCTCTCTCTATATATATATATATATATATATATATATTATTTTGGTCTGTGTTATAATTGAATTATTTAATAAAAATCTTTTGTAACCATGGTCGACATACATATACTTTATAGTTACCTATTCTTGAGGGTAAATCCAAGCCTTAAAAACTTGTGGATCTCCTGTGTTGCTAGCTATATATATATATATATATATATATATATATATATATGGTGCCTGCACATAATATTCTTGAATTAGAGATTAATTTTGAAAATGAAAAATGGTTGTAGAGTTTTGATGTTTATAATGTTGTTGGCGATGGCCAGTGCAGCTGCACCTAATGCTTCAGAGTGCAAAAAAGAGAGGAGACTTGCCGTCAACGGATGCAAAAGTGTATTGTACGGCAGACCTCCGTCATCGTATTGTTGTCAACGGGTTCGGGTTACTCACTTTAAGTGTGTATGTCCCATTATCACCCCCAAATTGGCCGCTCTTGTTGATGTTAATCGTCTTGCCAAACTCATCCAAGGTTGTGGACGCAGACTTCCTCATCACTTCAAGTGTGGAAGTAATGAATCTCTCTCTCTCCTCCTATGTTTATGTTTCCAAAACTAGCTGATAACTGATATAATTAATGGTTGTTAGGTGATACGAAAACGAGACTTTTCTTTTACCTCTAACCAAAGGAGATTTTTTCAACATGTTCAAAAATGATTTAAACTAGTTTATGGTTGTCAAACATGATCTAATCATCAAACTTTGTTGAAATGTTTTGAACGATCGATTATAATCAAAATGGCAAATCTTTATCCTATATATGTTACCATGCATGTATGCATTTGCAAGAATGCCTAACTTGTGATTTTGGAATTTTTTTTCCAGGTCTGACGTTACCATAAAAATAATGAAAAGGGATGATATCAGGCAGGTGTTGTCGAAGCATGGGAGAGAGAGAGAGAGAGAGAGGAGAAAGCTCAAAGCTAGTCATTAATATTCGAAGTTGGTTTCGATTGTAAGTCACGTAGATCATGCGTCTACTTGTATGTTAAGAGTTTACTTACGGAGATCGATGTATACTTTATGTTGTTAAATTTCATGTCGTTTATAAAATATAGAAGATCTTATGAATATATATAACACAATGAAATGTTTTATAGTGATATATAATTATGATAAAATATAAAATAATGGTAAGAAATGTAAACTAATTTCGATAAATTGTTACTCAGTCTTGATAAACTTGATGAGTGATCACAATTATTGTGTACACTTAGAATAGAACCTTGGAGAGATGAGATATTTCATCACATCTATAGAATCTCAACCACTACGTTACAACCTTTGTTATTACTATACACATTATATTTTAATCGGTTATTTAGTGGCCGGTCGTTTGTCTAAAGGGCCTAATACAACATAACAAATTCAAGTTTTTATGGGTAAATTGTATAAAAAGAAAACCTATAAACTTTCATTTAATTACTATTTTAAGAAATGTAGTTTCATATATAATGCATGTTTAAGCGCGTGTTTCTTATATATGCCTCTAAAAAACACAAGATATAGCAATTAATGCACAAAACATAATAAAAATTATGAAATATGAGCTTTTAATTTCTTCTTCATGGATTAACATACGATTTGACATGTCAGATTTATAGTACTATACTATACTATACTATACTATACTATGGGAGATGGTTATGGTTGGTACTCACTAAAGAAACCTCACTCCAAAACTACTTTTAAACTTTTTTAATTAATAGAATTTTCATTATATAATTAGAAAATATTAATTATATATAAATTAAGGAATCGGCGGTCATATGATGGGAACAAAACTCCGACATCAAAGCCTATTATTAATTTTAACGATCTTGTCATATATATATATTTTAATTATAATAGTTGTCAGAAGACCCTTCTTTTAACGGACGGGATATACCAATACCAACCGTGAACAAGGACTATCAATACACAATATATATATATATATATATATTAATCTATGAAAATAATCAATTAATCACATATATATATTCACATCTTTTATTGTTATTTTATTTATATGAAGAAAATAAATAATAATTAATAACTCAAATTTGTATTTGAAATTAGCATGCGCAATTGGCCTTGCAATCCTTAACTAACAAAATGGTTAATCCTCAGAATTGAACTAAACTAAACTAAACAAGATCATACCGGATGTTTAGATAAGATATTTTTGAATGTAATGTTTATCAGGTATCTACGTTACGTACGTCACTATCATTTAATTCATCATGTAAAAATTCTTAAAATAAATTATTGGTAAACATCTTTTATCTGAAAAGCTTAATTACAGACTTTTATCGATCATTATATATTATACATCTTAGTTATTTTCCACATCAATAATTAATTACTCTCATATATATTCATGAGACAGCAACTAAAAATAATGAAAATAGGGTTGCGTAATGGAGTGTCTTTGATGAAAACTTAAGTTATATATTATATATAATCTTGTTGACTTGACTTGACTTGGACTAATCAACCAATGACTTGGTCTTCTAATTACATCTTCTTAATTTTCCACAACATTAATTAATTACTGACTACAATACAAATCATTAATTATATATACATCTTGTTTGTATGTATTGTTTCATATATGATACAATATGTCTGTGTTTATACAACTTAAGTTTATAAAAGTAAACTATAAAACATTCTATCTAAAAATGGTATAATAGGTTTATATGGTATTTTTTGGCGTTTAAACAAGTTTTTTAGGAATTTTTTTAAAATAAAGTGCTTTATTATTATTTATACAAAAGTATCCTATAAACTCATCTTTTGATATGAGATTTGTGTTTATAAGATACCTTTTTAGATAGTATCCTATAAAATAACTAATATAACACTTAACTTTGGAGTCCTAATTTTTTTGTCAAAACGTCTAAAAATAAACCTATTGTAACACTTGCAGGTGACTCTTTTTGGTTCGGTCTTATAAATCTAAGTTCTATAGATTATTTCTTTTAGGAGACTTCTATATTTTACGTACTATAAAATCAATTTTATTGTGGTGGTTGTTTCATATGTGAATCATTCAAAACTGTTTTGTGTATGGAAAAACTAGTCTTGAACGATTGAATTATGATACAAAATCATGTAAACACTACATTATTGGTTCATATATGAAACATTACATGAAAATTATTGGGTATATTATATATATATATATATATATATGTGTATGTAATTAATTAATGTTGTGAAAGGACAAATTATTCTAACTAATACTATGTAAATCAAATCAAAACCAAGTGCAAAACATAATCACATACACACCACTCCTCTATAAATATACATGAATACCAACTAAATAGAGTCAAATGAACAAGAAAAGTTTAAATAAATTCTCCAAAAATGAACACCCTTTTGAAGAATTCAGTCATTATTCTATTCATGATGATGTTCTTGGCTATGGCTAGTGCAGCTGAACCAACGGCTGCTGAATGCAAGAAAGAGAGAAAGCTTGCAGTGAATGCATGCAAAAGTGTGTTGTATGGTAGGAATCCATCAGCTTTATGTTGCCAACGAGCTCGGGTTAGCCATGTTGAGTGCATATGCCCTGCCATCACTCCTGCTTTGGCTGCACTTATTGATGTCAATCGTTTCGTTAAACTTATCAGAGGTTGTGGACGCAGAGTCCCTCGTCATTTCAAGTGTGGAAGTAATATAAATATCTATCTATCTCTTTTAATTATGCATCTCTTACTTTATATATATGTGTGTGAGAAAGATTTTTAAAATTATATAATAACAATTCATGGATGTCTAATTTACTGATTTTGTATTTTGTAGGTATTACAACACCATGAGAATTAAAAAGGAATATGAGGATTATAATATAGCAATCTTATGTTATGTAACAAATGCATTGGGGAATAAGCTTCAAGGTTTATGTCTATGTATTAAAAAGTAAATTATGTGTGATGTGGTTGTAATATGAAATAAAGGGTATGATTATGATGGATTGGTACATCGATATTATGATAATCTATAAGTTAAACAGTTTATAATGATGTATGATTCATTCTTTTGGGTAGTTTAATCATTGGTTTTACTCTTTGATGGTCATCGAGTCAAGTCTTTTCAATGTTACTGTAAATTATTTTGATTGTTAATTTTAAACGCTTATAAAATTAATCGAGGTACATAAAGAATGACATGTACATCTGGAGATATTTATTTACAATCTGATATAAATTTTAAATAAAAATGGTAAAATAATTTTGAATAATAAGTAACAAATGATTGTGTTTGAAAAGACGAAAAGGGAATAGGACAGGTTGCTTACTAGTTCGTACGCTTACAGTTTTTGTCCCGGAAAACAAACAAAAAACCTCACGAGTTAGATTTAAGGGAATTTCAACAAAATAATTAATCTTTTTTAACCAAATTTGGTTTTAACTATTTTTTTCAATATATTTTTATTTTATTTTTAGGCATAGTTTATTTAAACTTTTATGCAAAATTTATTTTCAGATTGAAAAAAAACATCTTATATAAATTTGTGAAAATTAATTAAGATCCCCATCTATTTCTTTTTTTAATCTAAAAATGGTTTTTATGCATATATATGTGAAATGTATTTACGTAAACTTTAACTAAAACAAGAATTCTTGATTGAAAAGAATTGGTTATTTTATATAGTAAATGACAATGGATTGCATTTTGTTGAATCTAAATTACAAAAAGTTAATGTTTTTAGTACAAATATTTTTACGATTATATAAACTTAAGAAAGTAGACAACTTTGAGTTTGAGGTCGATCGAAATTAGAAATGATTTAGTTTTGGGAGGGAGTCAATGGTGGGGTTCCAGTCGACTTCGATCAGTTGTAAGTGGGTTTTCTTCTTTCTTTCTTCATTTTCTAACCCTAAAATACTTGTGGACCTCCTACCTTCATATCTACCCACTATATATGGTATATCTCTCTCTCTCTCTCTCTCTATATATATATATATATATATATATATATATATATATGTATATAGAAATCAAAACCCAAAGCCACCAAAATAATAACCTAGAATAGAGCATAGAGATGGATGGGGGTGTTACTAAGATTATGGTGGTTCTCATGATGGTGGTGGTGGTGGTGGTACCAGTGGCAACCGCAGCAGGGCTGACTGCTGCCCAATGCCATGAAGAGAGACGACTAGCGGTGAATGCTTGCAAATCGTTGGTGAAAGGGGGGTTGCCAAGCCCACAATGTTGCCAACGTGCAAGGGTTAGCCACGCCGAATGTATATGTCCTGATGTTACGCCCATAGTGATGGCAATAGTCGGGGATGTGAATCGTGCCATTAGGCTCATCGAAAGTTGTCATAGAAGAGTTCCTCATCATTTCAAGTGCGGATGTAAGTACCACCTTCGTTTTTATCTGGGCACGTTGCATCAAAATGTAAAGTATTTTGATTTGATTCTTATTTTGTATTTCAAAAACCTTCGTTTTTGTGTGTCATATCAAACATTTGAATACATGCTTACGTCTGAGATTGAATTAATAATCAACATAATTTGCTCCAAACGTTAAAGATATCACATCAGATATACCAAAATTAAGGTTTTGAATAAGAATCAGATAAAGTAGGTAGTAATTTCATACAATTTGTCATTTTTACTTGTGTTACCTTATATCATATGTATATTGTTGGAGTTTCATCTCGGCTCTTTTCAAAAAGATATTCACATATCATCACATATATAAAATGAATTTGAACGTTTGTGACCGATTTGTACTTATACATTTTGTTTAATTTTTGCAGGTGTGACCACCCCCTGAAAACTTGATTATGAGATGTAACTTATCATTATTATAATAAATAAATTCCGATAATTTTCATAAACATCTACATCATAATAAACAAACTTTTATTATTTCTATAAATATCTAAATTAATTGGTTTGTATATCAACGATTGTGGGAAAACAATCATTCGCCTCATTCAGTTATTATAAAGTGAATCAAAATTTCAACAAGTACGTAGTTTGACTCCACAACAAGTTAACGCACATATAATATAATATAATATAAAGTATTGCAAAAAACCGTCATTTTATATTTTTGATGAAAAACTCGAGGTGTTTAAATTCCTAGTCATAATATTAGTCATAGATGAATATGAAAGCATCAAACTGATTTTCGATTACTTGAATAGCCAAAACTCTTTACTTACAACCTCATTAAACTACAACAAAATTAATTGGGTTTTTAAAAAACTTGTTAAAATGTCTTATAAATCTATGCAACACTTTTTGATAACACGTTTTATAATTTAATAGTCTTATAAACTTAAGTCCTATAATAGGACATTTTAATATTTTAAGCGTCATATAAACTTAATTTTGTTGTAGTGTGATGGCAAAACCAATTAAAACCATGTCTTGAAGTTGATGTTCGGTATGTAGACGACGAGACTTAGCATATCTGAGCGGACGAAAGTATGGTAGGCCAAATGAAAAAATTATATAAGATTTTAGGATTTTAATTTACTAATCGTATTGCATTGCGGTCTTCAATTCTTGTATGATACCCATAAATTAAAAGGAAGTATTAATTTCTTGGATTTTGCAAGTTTTTCGTATTTATTAATTTACTCATGTAAACTATATTACTTTTTATGTTTGTTAGCACCTTAAGGAGCTTAGTAAAACTCACAACTTAGCTTATTTGGTCAGTTATACGCAATTGTTTGGAAGCGCCTTAATGATATAGAAATTAAGTGACTTATACAATAGGACTAATCAAAAGAAAACTGTGTAGTTTGTGATAACCAATATGAACAATTTATTTAAGGATATTTCTTAAGCAAGGCAAAACGGTAAATTAGTAATTTTATTTATAACAACTCATAAACAAGATTTAATTAATTTTTTTTAAAGGAAATATAAACCATATAATTATTACAAGCTCTACAAACCAATCTCAACTGTACGTATAGATAATCAGGTGTCTTGATTAGATCAGTTCCTAAATTTACTCATCTTAACTGATTTGATAACAGTCTCTAAATTCAAAATGAAGGGTTGAGATTAGGTTTATAGGGTTTGTAATAATTAGTTTATATTTGAAACCTCCTATATGTGTGTTTGTCTGTGTCTGAATAAGCAAATATTCCAAAACGAAATCAGGAAATTGTGATCAACTTTTGCCCCTTCTTTTTCAGTACCGTATAACCGGATTTGTAGGCCTTCCGGAAATGGTGATCCCTAGTTTCGCCCAAACTTATTTCACGGCAAGCGTGGCTAAAGGCTTTGCCCATAGCCCTAAAGTAAATCTTGCACCTGCTATAAGCGTATATGTAAATAACAGGATCTATAGGCTTTTGTAGTGTGTTGGATGTCAAAATATGACTTGAAAAATTCGGTAAAAATGTTATTAGTTGGGTTCGTACCTAATAACTGATTGTTTTTATTGATGAATATAAAATAAAAGTTGATCTAAACAACGACTATGATGCAAAAAAGTAATCAACAATTGCATGATTGAAAAGGAAGGCAATAACAAAGAAGTCACCATCGATCTAACTGCACACAATTGCTAATCGAGTCAAATTATCAAACAGACTAAATTCATTGCAGAATTGACAATTACAGAAATGAATATTTGTAAATCAACAAGAAGTATCATTTAGCGTTTTGTCCAATTGTCATAAAATGAATTTAACATACGACACAATTAAAATTTCACCAAATCGTTTGGCACTACAGCATGTTACACAAATAATATAAAGTATTGCTGAAAAAACAAGAAAGAAAATGCTACACAATGGCTCGACTTGTTACTTCAATAGCCTCACAATTAGAACCTAGTCTTGAGGGTGGGTGAGTTTAGTATATAAGCGAGATTGGATAGGACTGATTGATAGACGAAAGTAAGGCAAGCAAATGAAAAGGTTATGTAAGGTTTTAGCATTTTAAATTGACATTCATACGTTTCCGAAACCTCACCTCTTTTATGTAAAGAAGGAAATGGGAAGAAAGTAAAAAAAGAAGTCATGATCTTGGAAATTTTTTATATATTTAATAGAATATATTATATAAAGTATTTTATATATTTAATAGAATATTATTTAAAATAATCATAATAATAAACAAGATGGTAATATTTTTAACTAGTTATTTAAAACTTGAAGAATTTTACACTGTTTTTCCATTTTGAAGACAAAAAAAACAGCTGGAGAAGAAAATTTCTATGTTTTTGCAAGAAAAGGCATCATATAATCATTTCATTCAATATAATGGTGAACATGAAGCCAACATAACCAAGCTCATTGCAGGATAAACAACCAGTTTTGCATAATTTGAAACCATTATCATAATCAAGTACTCAACTACAAAAATTGCATATCCAACTTCAGACCAAAATATCAACTCTAATCTCTATCACAAAACCATCATATGCATTTGTTTCAACTTCAAGATATTATAGAAAAAGGTGGGGGGAAAAAACAACTCTCTTCAGGCACCAATAACTTCTGTTTCTTCAGCAATCGGCTCGTCTGCAGGCCTCTCCATTTTCACACCAACATCTTCGGAGTAATCTCCATGAACCTACATATCATCGTAAGAAACGTTCAGGAACAATAACCACATCAATCAAGATAAAAAAAAAACAATCAATACATGATGATAATCACATCAATCAAGATCAACAACGACAGATACATGACATGGTGCAATCACAATGATCAAATTGCATAGCCTTTACACGCATCTTTATATGTGATGGCTAAAAATCATAAACCCTCTTACCTCCATCAATTTGCCTAGGTCGAACTTGGGAGCCTTCAAAATCTTAACTTTGCGGATGAAAACGTTCTGCAACGGGTAAATGCTAGATGTTGCCTTCTCAATCTCTCTGCCAATTGATTCAGGAATGAACTTCTGGACCAACTCCTTCAGATCACAAGATTGGGCCTGGCTGACCATGATCTCCCTCATCTTACGACGAATCTAACAGAATCAAACATAATTGAAATATCAGCAACAAAGAACTTCAAACTTGATGAAGAGCTGAAATCATAATTGCCAAACATAAATCTCACAAGAGTTAAGCATCTAATTAGTAGTTAAAAAATGAAAGTATATACCTGTCGGATTTGGCTAGATTGTGCATAGCAGGTCCTCTTCACCTGGTTGGCACGCTTCTTTGTAAAGCCAATGCAGAACATTCTCAATGTGTAACTGTCGGTTGTCTTCACATCAACGTGTGCCTCGATCAAAGACTGCCATTTCCTGACAAGAGACCTCAGTTTATCCGTGGTGAAGTCCATACCCTGGGTAAAAGAATGCAAAGTTAACATTGTAACACCCTTCACTATATAAAATAACAAAAAAAAACAATAAGATAAATATTGTATCATACCCAGAAATTGGTCAACACATTCTTCCCTTGGACATCCTCAGCTCTCAGACGGATCTTTCTGTAGGCATGATCCTCATCATTTTGGAGGTCAGCTAAGGATATCTCAAAGACACGATGTTTCAGTCCTTCTGAAGCAATCTGATTGAAAAAAAAAAAACATTTAGGCTTCAATATCTAAACCCAGGTATCAGAAAACATGATAATTTCTAATCCACAATAAGATTCTCATGAAAAGGTTGTATGGTTCAAGAAAGATGACAGCAACGGTACTTCAGGGGTTCAAATCTATTCTAGGCACATAAATTTCACGACTTGCAACAAAAAATATTAACTTGTATAGTTCTATGATTGTGTTTTCTAAATCAATTAGAAAGTAGTCCTCTGCCTCAAAACAAATACACCATTTGGCAAGGCAGATAAAAAGGGATCGTGTACGAAAACCGATGCTAATAATGGTTTATCACGATTAGTAAATGAGCAAAGACATTATCTAACCCATAAAACATATGGCAAGTGTAGATACGACATCAAGCTACAGAACCATATCATTTCTAAAAAGAGTGTTCAAGACTGAACATAAGAAAATAGACACGTTGAAGCTGTATATCGAATTTTAACTCAATAAAGTGCAATTTAGAACAGCAGATGCTAAATGAATTAAAACAATAAAAGAAGACTATAACGAATGTAAGCTTACCTTAGTACCCTGAGTACGGGTAACAAGAGTTTTGCCAACATTTCTGGTGCTGAACAGTGATGGAGCTTTGATATCATACCAATCCTTCTTGGAAAAAGGGTCAGCTCTGTTTACATATAAAAAATGGATAAGAGTGTTGAAAATACGAGATCTTCAACTTAGAGAGTTCCAGAGAGTAAAAAATATCATAAACTTGTTACGCAGAGATAAAAAGAACTCACGCTTTCTTCTTGCCTCCCTTCTTTCCCTTGGAAATTCGCTTGTTCTTGCTGTTCAAACGAAAGAGAAACAAAGGGAAACGTCAGATATGATGGATGAAATGTGTGCGAAATGAAGAGGGAGAAAGAGAGATGTAGTACCCGACGGCCATAGTTAGGGGTGTGAGCAGGCGAAGGGAAGGTTTGAGGCTGCGAGAACAAACCCTACCTTTGGATCCGTAAAGAAAACCCTAGGACGGAAATTAGATTTTAGGTATATAAAGCAGGAAATTTTACAATTATGGTCCCTGATGTTTCAAGTGATGGTTAGTTGGGCCTTACATTTCTGGAATTGTATACCTTTTTATCTTGACACTCATTTTCATTTTAATTTTTAAAAGTAGAATATTTATTTATAATAAGATTATATGTATCATTCAAAACAGCCAAGAGATTTTGATTTTATATTCATATTCATATTTTTTAGTTGGGTGTTTATATCTATAATATGTTTTGTATGGCGTTGAGTAAGTAACGTTAAAAATGAGTGTATTTTGGTGAGAAATGATTGAAACAAGTAAATGGGGAATGCGTTCATCCATTCCATGGTCATGGTGTCATATTATCTCCCTTGGATGATCAAATAAAAGACCAAGCTAACAATCGTTTCTTCGACTATTGTAGTTGTAGTTGTAGTTGTAGTTGTAGGGTTAATGGTGGGCTGGAGATGTTCATATGATAATTACAATACCACGAGTCAAGCCCGGCCCAATACGGATTACAAAAAGCCTTGTGCTAGTAGTAGTTAGTAGTTACTAGTTAGTTAACGACCAAGTAGGCCAAACCAATCAACATTAGTCTTCTTTACTTGTTGGCCATTGTGGTAACTTAGTTGAGATTCCAATAGTTACCACAAACTAGTTTAATTTAAAATTATAAAATTCTTAATTTATCTATTGATTTATGGTTGAAATTGAATCTATCTGTTACCATAAACTACTCAGTATATATATATATATATATATATTAGAAGGATACTCGCATAATGTAACGAGATATATCTCGATTTTAATTTTCTGTTTTACTTTTTTGGTCTCTGTCGATATTATAATATGGTTTTATGTGATTTTGACCAAACAATAATGTTCTTTAAAATATAAATTTGAAAATATCGTAACAAAATTTAAAAAAAAACGCTCATTTTTTTGTCTAATTTATTTAATTCAATTTTTTATTATAATTTAATTTAAGTTTAATAATGAAGTAATTTATTTTTGGTTTAATAAAATAATTTTTATAAAGATAATAACTAAGTATTATGTTAAAACTTAATAATTATCCTAATTATATTTTAGATATATTTAAAATGAGAAATTTATCTTATATTTGATTATATTTATCTATAATTAGTTACGCGAATTCTAATATGAAGCTTAATAAATTGTACTTATGCACAATTTATTTGTAATCTTGAATTTTAAGTAATATGTATCAATAAACAGTAATTCATGTATAAAAAATGATTTTTAAGAGTTTTATCAAATACTTTATAATATAACTAGAATGATACTCGTACAATGAAACGAGATATATCTCAATTATAATGTTTCATTTTATTCATTTTCTTTATTGATAATACGATTTTACGTGGTTTTAAAAAAACGATAATATTTTTATTTTCAAACGAAGTATATATTTGAAAAAAGAATGTATCGATATTAGCATTGAATTAACTATTTAAAACTTTTCGTTTTCTGTGTAATTTTCTTTAATTCATTTTTTATTATGATTTAATTTACATCTAATAACAAAGTAATTTATTTTTGTTTAATAATGTAATTTTTATAAGAAATGATAATTAAGTATTCTGTTAAAACTCAATAATTATCTTAATTATATTTTAATTTTTTATATTTAAAATAAGATGTTTATCGTGTATTTAATTATGATTATCTACAGTTAGTTACAAAAATTCAAAAAATAAAGATTTAATAAGTTGTACGTATGCACAATTTATTTGTAATATTGAGTTTCAAATAATATGCATCGATAAACAATACTTCATGTATAAGAAATTGTTTTTAATTTTTTTTGTTAAATGCTTTATAATATAGTATAGATATAAATATATATATATATAGAGAGAGAGAGAGAGTTTGTTTCAAATACAACATGTTGCGTTTGTACAACCAATGCAACCCAATAAATTGAAATATTTATGGAAATGATGAAATTTCATTTATTATGATTTGAATATTTATGGAAGATGAATACGGTTCATTAATTATGATCAATACTTTATATTATGAAATAATCAAAACTTTTATGAAATCACATATTAATCAAATGAAATGGACGGTTGAGATTGGGTTGTATTAGTTGCATAAATGTTATGGATTGTATAATAACCAACATCTATATATATATATATATATATAATCTTAAAATCTCAGATACGTTTGATGCTTATCAATTACTAATTTACAGTAAAGGATTAGAACCGGTTATTTAAGAATGGTTTTAGCCATTGATCAAAGACCCAGACCGAATATGATCTGGTCCAACTTAATAACAAATACTTATCGATGCAATTAATTAACGATTTATTTATATCTTTTACGAGTAAGAAAATGAATTTTTTAAGTGGAAATGATACTACATAGTCTATTACATGCGAATTTATTGTGAATAGTTAAATAGATAAAAAAAACATTTATAAATATATAAAAAAGTCTGCCCAAGTACCATCACACCAACACCAATGGGTTGCAGACATCGACCCTTATCCGCGCACACGAGCCATAACCTATGGTGGACCGGTGGACTATTACTCTTATCATTCTAGTGGGGTTTACACGTCACCAATCGGTGCATTCTAGCTCCACCCACTCTCTCACTCATCTCCATCATCATTATCACCCACCGTCCACCTATCGCCCCCCCACCCCCAATTCATTTATCTACTCCAAAACCCCTAAAGAAACATATCTCCATCAAACCTCCTCTGCCGCCTCCCTTCACCCCCACCGCAAAACGCCACCGGCTATCCAATTTCAACGCCGGAAAAATGCCAGCTTGCTAACGTGCGCCCAAGATCCTATTTTTAAACTTCCTCTGCCGCCATCGCTACTACTTCCCTTTACCCCCACCGTAAAACGACACCGGAGATCCAATTTCAACGCCGGACAATGCTATCTTGCTAACGTGAGCCCAAGATCTGCTAAAGTGCGCACTCCCACCCCATATCATCACCGGAAAGCAAAGACCCATGTCGGTCGCCGCCGGACAGAAGCCTGTACGGAAGTTTCCACCGCCGTGCTGGACTCGCGACGAGGCACTGGTTCTCATCGAAGCTTACCGTGAACGATGGTATGCCCTCCACCGTGCGTTCCTCCGTACCCCCGATTGGGACGCCGTGGCGGAAAAAGTAACCACCAGCTGCCCGGATGTCATCCCGCCAAAGACCTCCGCCCAGTGCCGCCACAAGATGGAGAAGCTCCGCCAACGCCACCGAGCAGAAAAACAGCGCGCCTCCGCCTTCTCCGGCGAACGGTTCTTCTCTTCCTGGTTCTATTTCGAAGCCATGGAAGCCATGGAAAACGGATCCAACTCCGAACCCGGTTCTAATCATCTCATAGATTCACAAATCCCATCTCAGAATCTAAATTCGGATCGTGGAATTCGATTCAAACCATCCGCCGTCCAAAATTTGGTCACTTTAGCCACCAGTTCCACCAGAAATAGCATGAAATCAAAACTTAATTCGGGTTCTAGGGTTTCAAAACGTTACCCATCATATCCCAATAACGGGTCGATTCACGAAGAAGATGAATGTCTTGTAGAAACCCCAATCGAAGAGACCTCGATTCCAAATAAAGAATCAAAAACCCACAAAGATGGATGGCTTATAGAAGCCCCAGTTAGAGAAGCAAAACCCCCCAAAAATTCTCCAATTCAAGATTCCAGTCGACCGGGTCTTAGACCTCGCAAATTCAGCAAAAGCGTTGACGAAGATGAAGAAATGTGGATCAAAGTGCCAAAGAAGACAAGTTTATCAAGTGGAAAACACGAAAACGAAAAGAATGGGAAGGACTTGAAGCAGGGGAAGAAGAAGAAGACGAAGAATGATGGGATATCGGAAATGGTGTCGTCGATCAAGTTATTGGGAGATGGGTTTATGAAGATGGAGAAGATGAAGATAGATATGGCGAGGGAGATTGAAAAGATGAGAATGGAAACAGAGATGAAACGTAACGAGTTGATGATGGAGTCTCAGAAACAGATTATGGATGCATTTGTGAATGGTTTGATGGAATCAAGAAAACAGAAGCAGCCAACAACAATGGCTGATTTGTAATATGATAAGAATTTAGAAGAAGCTTTGATCTTCTTTCTTCTTCAAGAATCAATCTTTTTATGTAGAGAAGTGATTAGATGTATAAAATCATGAAAACAGTTTGTGTTTTTTGATCCACCGCTAGTTGTTGCGTGTTCTTATCTGCATTCAAACTGAAAACCCATGTGGGAGCTTCGTCCCAACCTGTAAATGGTAAGTATTTACCTTCTGCTAACTGTAAAAAAAGTAAGAACAGAAACTCCACGTGTTTTTGTTTTTGTTTTCTTTTAATTCCTATATTTGTATTTATTTATAAAAATCAACAACTGTTGTTGTATTTGCATTTCATTAGGGATTTCGTTCATGGTTCTAATTGTGGGTATGATCATCCATTAAGCGTTTTTATGAGCTGCTTACTCCCCCACCCAGTCCCCTCTCATTTCATATGAGAAAATGTTTGATGTATAAATCAAGTGTGGAGTTACTTGAGGAGCATTCCCGTCATTTTACATAGGTTTTTTTTGAGACAACATTTGACGTACAGACCATTTGCATCATGAAAAAAGTACTCCAAATCACTAAATTTTTATCTTTCTTCATTTTTTTTCAATAAGAGAGCAGTTTTTCGGTAATATTATTCTCTTTTCCATTTCAACAAAGGAGGTGGTAAATCATTCTCCTGATGAAGCAAAAAACCTTGTTCTTGATATTGAAATGAATATATCATAATTTTTATTTTTTTATAAATATTTTAAACCTGTGCACAAGATTTAAAAACTTGTACTAGAAAAAATATAAAAGCAAATTGGTACATTTTTATTTATAAAAAACATGCAAAAAGACTGAAGTACCCTTCATGTGACATTGACCGCAAGGGTATTTAACAAATGATCTTAACGACTACTATTTGAGTCATAGACAAAATCCATAATAAAATACTAACCACTATGACATGACAGGACTTGTAATTTCTGAATTATAAAGACGATATCTAGAGTTTCCACGAATTCACATGGACCAATTTTGTAATTCTCTCTTTTCTTTAGGTTGATATGACTAATGAAGGTCTTAATAATTACATGATTGCAATGCAAACCATGTAGTTTATGAATAATAGCTTTAAGGGATAAAAAACGTTAAAGATCAATCTTGTAGTTGGAAGTTGTATCTGTCTAATAAATTATCAAGAATCTACAGTTTCACATCTTGTATTCGATCTTGCAACAAAGAAATATATGCTAACAAGACTTGAAAATTTGCTACAAATTTCTTAAGTATCTCACTTACAAATCATTTCCGCCTTCCAATTCCTTTTACAATATCACCATCAAGAAATCACAAAATTCAACACAAATTCTACAATAAAATGACCACCAAAATCGTCAAATCGATCATCTCATCTATATTTTTGTATGATTGCCATCAGTTTCATAAATAGTCCATGGGCTCCTTTCTGAGTCCTTGCATTGAAGGTTTTCATAATCGCGTTCATCTTCTTTGTCGCAGATTTCTTGCTTTGCTTCTTCTTGTTCTTCACCCTTCTCTTATCATGTGATATCGTAAAACACTTGAATATGGTGTCCAAATGCAAGCAACTTGATTGCATCTTCGACTTTCTTTTTCTTTGAACAGGCGATATCTATGATAATATTATACATCAACAAATCTTTATAAAATTTTAATCTCATACTTATACATGTTACAAGACAAACCATTAATTCAAATGTTTTAATGAACAAACAACAAAATCCATCACTAGTATTTGAACATTGTTTCATAGTATGCAAAGAAGAATGATTAATTAATTTGTACTTTCTTTATTTGTTTGATATCTATATTTTATTAGAATATATATATATATATATATATATATATATATATATATATATTTGTGGGAAGAATTGAAATAATTACCGTAGCCATAGTTTGTTGTTGGTCGTTGGTGGAAGAAGGTGGCACAGATTTGGGATGATGAGGAGAGGTGGATTTTGGAAATCTTCGAAGACGCTGCGAGTAGTTAAGAAGCTCTGCTCTTCTGTTGTTTCCTCCACTGCTCGATGACCGTTTGACATAAATATGGTGGTGGTGGTGGTGATGGTGGTGGTGGTGCTTTCTTGTTGTCAATTTCCTTTTTCTTGGTTTTTCCTCATAAACAGCCACTAAAACAGCCTTCTCTTTGCAACATGTCACCTGCAATCTCATTTAACCATCATTTATCATCACAATCAGACTCAACATATACAGAAAAGATAGAGATTATATATGTGTGTCTATGTATGTATGTATGTATGTATGTATGTGTGTGTATATATATATATATAGAGAGAGAGAGAGAGAGATCTAGAGAGAGAGAGATATGCTTACAATGGAATTCCTTGGCATTTTCGTAGCAATGGGGAGGAGAAGCAATCAAGATAAAAGAAGATAGAAAATATTGATATATATGAACTTTGTTTATATATAGAGAAAAAAAATAACAGCATTTACTTTTTTTCTATTAAAAATTAATAATTAATAATGAGGTTATTAATTTTTGATGTTTTAGGTAATGTAATAAAAGTAAGTTTTGTTTCTCCTTTAAATATAGGCAAATGATAATTTACAGACAAGCTAAAGACAACAAAAAAAATTCATTTTTCACCCAGGTCCATAAGTGACACCTCTACAAGTGGGTGAAAATTGAATAACTTTCTTATCTTTTGGCTCATCCGCAAGTTATAGAGGTGTCACTTACGTAAATAGTATTATTTTTAAAAATTCCAAAAAAAGCCTAAGAGATAAATTTGATCTCTAAAAATGGTTATTTTTATTTAGTTTTACTTACAAGAAACGAGGGAGGGTTGCATAAATTCATTGGTTAACCGAAAGGCCATATAATTCCAAACACTAATATCCAATTTATTTTATCATTTAAGAATTAGATATTAGATACGATTTTGACATATAATATAAGAAAATAGCTTGGTTACAACTAATCTTTGTTTGATCAAGTAATCGAATATCTTTTAGATGTTTTATATTTAAGTATTATTCAATCGGGAATATTGGTATCCATGTGTCACATATGTGGGCAAGAAGTTCAAACAAATTGATCATCGTTTTATTCGATGCTTGAAGATTCTAAATATGTAGGCAAATAGTGTTTAAGTTTGGGTCTTTTCAACGTTCGCTTTATCACACACCTTTTCTCCAAGATATATAATCTTTTTCTTTATAAAAAAAATTCAAAAAGCTTATCATCGGTGGTTTTTTGTTTTCTTTGTGTGTGATTTCCAGTTACAATAACAAAGTGGTGTTCTCTGATCTACTTACTCCTCAAACTGATTAAAGATTTCAATATCCAACTTTTACCTTGTTGCTGGTTGACAAATCATGCAAAAAGTTTAATATTTCCTGAACAAATTGCTGCTAAAGGTTCATTCGTTGCTCTAAAAATTAATATTGTTCTCTTGTTATGGTTTAGTCTTTCGATTGGATTTTCTCTATTTGTTTTGGCCCGACGGCCTATGTTTTAACGTTGTTTCCTTTCTTGTTATGTTTTTATGCCTTGCAATAATGCCAGTTATTGTTGTAATTTCTCACCTATTTTTATTTTTTTGTCTAATAACATTCACGGCCTTTAAAAAAATATATATTTCATTTATTTTTTATGTATCAATATGTTTATCCATCTCGTAACAACCAACATATATTTTGTCTATAATAAGCATTATTTTTTTTTTTGATGAAATTCATAGTTTTTTAATATAAAATACAGTGACTATGCGGGGTAGTTTATCAATTAATAAAATAGTGTTTGTTCCTCGTATTTTATTTAATTCAAGTTTTCTTAATGCTACTAAAAGGTTCGTCTTACTGTAAATTTCAAATCTTTATAAGATTAATCGACGTATTTATAAGTTGACCCAAATACTAAATATATATATATATATATATATACACACACACATTAAAATGGGAACTCGTGTAATGCATCGAGATATATCTCGATTTCAATGTTTCATTTTTTATTTGTCTATGTTGATATAATATGGTTTTATGTAGTTTTGAGAAAGCGATAATGTTTTTATTTTTAAATAAATATAAATTTTAAAATATCATAAAATTTTGAATATATATATATATA